AAAAAACAACCCTTCCCAGGAATATCTTAATTTAGCGGAAGGTTAGGGAACTACCCGTTTGTACTTTTGTTTGGTGGAAAAAATAATTTTTGAAAGAAAAAAAGAAAAAAATGAAAAAAAAATTCCCACCGGGGCATTTCGTCAGCATGTGCATTTTATTCCCCATTGGCAAGCATTGCATCAACTTTTCCCAATTCCTCAAAGCAGTAATAACCCACAATCCCAGCCATGGGATGAATTCGCAGAAGGGGGCCCAACGAAACCCGGTCACAATCACGAGCCCCCCGGTTGCCCCCTTGTCCTGTTTTCCCGTTACACGCAGGTGAACCGGGTAAAATGACTGCTTCAGTTGGAAGCTGGTCGAGGAAGCCGTGGTATTAGTGCCGGAGCGATGACCGAAACATCGGATGACTAGTTTGGAAGCACCGGTATGATGCCTTGTGAAGTGGGCCCGATCGCCAGTTCGGTCAGCCCCGGTCCTCCCCCATCTGTGGGGCCGGTCGAGGACGGCATGACCCGGGCATAAAGTTTTTTTTCTTCTTTTTTCTTCGCATCGCGACTCTTCTAACCATTCTGGGGCTCCCGGGGGTTTGGATACTCGTCCTCATATCACGTGTAAAAAAAAAAACTTCGAGTGAGGCACAGAGCTTTCACGAAAAAAAAAATTCTGTGAAGGGGTGGTTCTTGTGTCCTGTGAAAAACGCTTGGGTGGGAGTGTTTCTCCATGCAGTCAGATACCGGTAGGGGTCCCGGAGGCCCATGCCCGCTAGGAAGGGATGAGGGGTAGAATAGAAGGTAGAAGGAAGGAATAGTCAGGATTCCATGAATTATGAAGAGTATCAATTGTATGAGATGTGACCCTATCTGAAGGGGGGAGGCTGAAGAAGTTGATTGTGCTGTCGGAGAGGGTCTGACGGGCCTTATACCGGTACTTGTATAGAAAGGTATGATAGCAAAATGTCACAGCAGTGAAACAATGGGTCAAGATAACAAGCACACATATCAAAGAGAGGGTTGCGGGGAGAGGATAGAATAGTCGATGGCGGTTGATTGACCGGTTTCGAATGAACGAGGGAAATTGAGGGACGCTGAGTTGGAGCAACGTCGAGCGGTATTGAAGAAAGGTCATGCTCAAAGATGGAGCTATGCAGAAACTGCATATCGGAAAGCACTACCAGTATCTCAAGAGACCCGGCATCAGTGTCTCGAGTGATGTTGTGTGATGGCAGGAGAGTTATCATATAGTATCTTAAAAATCAAAGGTGAGGGCATACCGTCGAGAGGGATTGGGTTGTTTCTCGATTCGGCTAGTTCAGTCATGGAGTGGCTTGAGGAGTTTGACGGAGTGGGGAAGGGTTCAGTATGCTTGAGACGTTCGTCTACTCGAGTAAGGTTTCTGTATCACGGAATAGTGGGGAAACTGGCAGTGATGGAAGGCCGAGAGCACCCCAACACCGAGGGTGGATATCCATCCTAGCCTGGTACAAGTAGCAGTGTGTTAACCCGCCAAGAGTGACCTTATTACAGGCTAATACTGGCACTCTTACATACTCGAGCACCTTGTCAAATACCTTTTAACTGTTCTTACCAAGGAAAGTCACAGCCGTTAACACGTCCCGGAGATCCCCCTGCTCTACCGAATGTTTGATCTACCTCTTCTCCCCAATATCTCCATGAAAACTTGAGATATTTCTCTTCTCCCCCTGTTAATCCGTATGGAATCCACTCTCCCATCTCATAGAAGTGTAATTCTCGGTGGTTGGGAGTCCTCTGGGAGTTGGGGTTGAACGGTTATATTCTTGACAAATCACTCGGGCTGCAGATGACCCTCACCATATTTTAAGTTAGGGATCTCGCTCACCCTAGTTACGTATACTCGAGTACAGTACAGTACCTCGATGTGGTTTTGTGGAAGAGTTTCTCCAAGACATTCTGCAACGTCGGAGTGTGCGTACTATGGTCTTTGTAGAGGGTTATTAATATGCAATTGTAGACGGAACTCACCCGCACTCTAATCGGGGCCGACTCTGGGTACTGTATTACATACATGATGAAGATCTTTGAACCCAATTCTTGCTCGGTAACCCAATTACTCTGCAAGGATTGCCACCCGCAAGT